GATAGCTCGCGAGCTGTAGCATTCCTTCCGGCCGGTTGTGATTTGTGCACGAGAGCTTCTGGAAGAACGAACCGGATACTTGATTCGACTGTTTTTGTCATCCCTGGCGTAACTACGTGTCCTTTGGGCCGCTGAAGATGGTTTTGTGTGCTGTAGCCGAGCTGCACTGAACACAGGCCCAACTTGCTTTAGCGACAGGTTCTTTTGGCTTACACACTTCCGTAAATCAGACAGATTAATATAGCCGTATGTGCTGACCTGCTGGACAAGTGTCTTCGTCTCTTCAAATTCCTTTCGTCGCTTCGCCTTCTTTGTTGATGTCTTTTCCCTTGGACGTCCAGCCGGCTTACTTGCAATATTCAACACAATGTTGACTATTCCTTCATCGAAACCGCTCTCAAGATAGTCAAGGTTCAGCGTTCTTTTTGCTCGAACCGAAGGAGACGCAGGTATAGGAATCGGTGACGAAGTCAGATCAAGAGTAGCAGCCATTTCACCGTCATGCTCTGAACTGGTCGCTAGCTCACCAGTGTTGGTGATATTTTCAACAATGCTTGTGACTGGTTCACCAATACGTTTGCCTTGTTCACACCTTTTTTCCTCCGGATCCCCAACGTTTGTGACACACTCACCAACACTCACCAATGTTTGTGACACTCACCAGCTTCCTCTGCACTAGCGGCGTGTTCCCCATCAGTGCCGGCATGGCACACTGGTGGCTTGTCGTTATGACGAGCAACTCTCTCCGACTCCGTAAGATGTCGAGCCAAGCACAAAAATTTTGAGATCCCTTGTCGGCTACGACTTCTGCGATCCTCTGGCACACGGAAAATACTGACCGATATTTTTCATTATGACCGAGGACACGATGAGGAAAGCTTCAAAGTCGTGGACGTAACGCTTCTGCGTGACGTCAACAGGGGCTGCATCATCTTTTTCGTCCTCGTCTGCAAGCAGCCACCGACCTGGTATTGCCTCATACGGAATGATTGAGTGCATGCCCGATTTTTGCCACCTTAGAAATAGCATATGGCTGCAAGGAAGCAGTACGATCTGATCGAAGGCGCAACTGCAAGTGGCTTAAACCAAGCTGACTGCGTATTGCCCGCCCGATTTCGCACTAGTTATGGTAAATACACCTGGCGAGCTTTCATCACTCGACGTGTCGTACACCTCTTTGCCAACATACTCATCTCTTCATCATAGGTCTGGTTGTATCGAAACCCCACGCGCTTAACTTTGGCAGTGTACGGATCTTCAGCGGACTGTGGTAAGAGCAGAAGGTGGTCAATGCACTCGTCCGTGGCCATATGTCGATGCCGTAAGTCCTTGGCAGAGCCCCAACTAGCCTCCAAGCGGTTGTTCGTGTTATTGTCGAGGTGAGGAATGTTTCCACGCTCGAACGTACACCACGGTTTTTTGCCGTTAAGCCAATTCTCAGTAAAATAGTCAAGGAAAGATGGCTTTCCTGCACACAGTTTCTCCAAGGCGGACAGGTAATCATAGAAAAGACTCTCATTTTGTGCATGAATCATCATCGTGACAATATTTTTGATGTACAGCTTCTCAAACGCAGAAAGTCCGTAGTCTTTCTTGCTAAATTCTTGCCTGAGATAGTCGATGACGTGGAAATGGCAGAGAATAACTGTCGCGCACGGAAACTCTTCACGTAGCAGTGCCAACTCAGTGAAGATTTTGTCAATTACGATGACTTTCACGTCTGTCCACACTGGGTTATTCTGCTAGAAAGCTTGTACCGCGTGCAACATGCTCAATTGCTTTCGCCATCAACAAGTGCGTGTTGCGCAAATGATCTACACCCGAACTTGTCTGTGACCATAAAGCTAAACAGGTGATACCTACATGAGCGTAAACAGTTCACAAATTCGTGCGCGTGTCAGTGAGAGGCTCACAAACATTGGTGATCCGAACGAAATCTTGAGGAGCACCTTACCGATAAATATTAGGCCCGTAAGTAGTATCACCACAGATCGCTTCGAGGAACTTGCGTACCATCCTTCTCATGTGCGCCGTCTGAAAAGTAATACACGACGTAAGGCCAGTTGCCTTATCGCGGGAAAACATTTACAGCGTTTCCAGGGCGTTCGCTAAAGTCTCGCAAGACCTGTGTCACTCGCTCATTGTCGTGTCCTGACGTGTACGTCTCCCGACGCATTTTTGCGAATAGATTTTCCACATCTTTAGGCAGCACTGGGTAGCCCGACACTTCTTTTAGATATCGCAGGATTTTTCCTTCTTGTATCCGCCTATAATCAGACACAAATCCTGTAAACAATTTTACCTTTAAAGCAGTACTCGTTCGCTTACCTTGCACCAGTGTCTTGACCACACCTCGCGTTCCAGGGGGCGTTATTTTACGAGCCTCAGCGTAGGAGTAGTAGACGTCCCGTCCGACGTTATGGCTGTGCGTCGCAATATGGGATGTAACCCGAACCTTATACTCGTGCTCCTTGACGTGGACAAGCACTGCGTTCAGCTTTGTTGGGCACTCGATGGAGCATATGTTGTGGCTGATTCTTGACCCCTTTCCTCTGAGCTTGAACGGCCACCCGTGCGTACAGATAAGCGTCTTCGTATAGAACTTGTGAGTCTCGTCGAAAAGATGTGATGTTTTCCCTCGTCGACTTGACGAAAGCTGACGCTGTTTGTTGCGGTCAGCTACAGAGTTAGTAGAGCAAATCTTGTATAGCTGATGCGTCTCGTCCTAATACCTGCTGTAGAGAATGCATATTAGCGCAAGAAAACCACAGGTATAGATCCACGAGCACGTACGTTTTAAACTCTTCATGAATCGCGCCCCAAGACGAAACCTCCCCGCTGAGCTGGCAGAAAGAGACTCTGGTGCCTTCGCTACCATCACTGTCGCTGGCATGGGCACGCTTCTTCGCCTTCTGCGTGGACATCGCTCCCCGAGGGAACTGCTTGCTCAGCGGAGAAGGCTGGGGCGGAGGTTATTTTTTTAGTGGAAGGCAGAAGGGACACAAAATCTCTAAAAACTAAAAAAAAATAGACAGCTGCCCAGCGGTATCTCGGTAACCCTAATTTGGCTTTTCTCGCAGCAAAAACACTGGTGAACGTAGGCACTTCCTTTTTCTAAAAGCAGAAAAAATTGGCAACCAAAAAATAGGTCGCTTTCTATTTGGACAGCGCTCTATTAATAAGTCGGATTATCGATTAAATGTCAGATAATAAAAAAAAGAACGCCGTCTTACTAAGGTTCCTTAGTTCGCCTGTTAATAATCCTACCGGTAGGACGCCCATAAATCCTACGGGTAGAACAGGCTGAAGAGTGGTGGTTTACAATGGTACTTCCTAGAAGTATGTTTTAATCTTACCTATACTAGCTGTCTTGTGATGCTGCTAGGTGCTGGTGGTAGCACGTTCTACCTGTCATCGCTCCACATAGCGCATAATAGCTATCCGTATTGCAGTCTGAGCATGTGGTACAATAGAACGACGCCTTCCTCTTGCATATCTTGCAGCGTCGTTGTGCTCGTTGCGGTGTCTTCTTCAGCCGTTGGTATTGAGGGCGGTCTCCTAAGACCAGCAGCGTGTGAGCAGGAACGCTGGTGTCATTCATATCACAATCAGCATTACCATCTCTCCTCACTCGGCCTGTCAGATAGTCATTGAAATTAACTGGTGCACCAATCGGGAAGCGAATTCGCCAAACGCAACAGTGGAACAGGCCACGATATTATTGCTCTTTGTCTCGTGCTGATAAGCAAGATAGGCGTCCACTATAACCATTCCGAGAATTGTGGCAAATATTATGTGCGCCCACGAATGGGTGAGCCATTGACGCTACATCTCTAGTGACCCCTGTCTATAATGGTCGTGCACGTCAATAGTTGAAAAATGTCGGAAGAAAAGCTCCACCATGTACGGCCGAGGTATTCTTTTTTCGTAGCGCTCTGTGCGAATTTCGCCACCTTCAACAACACGCCGATGTCGAGCACGCACACTATCAGAACCCGGTAGTGTGGTTCCTCTGTTAGATATTATCGCTTTGGGCTTTCGATCATTCCAGCAAAGTGCGTACATTTTGGATCCATTTGAGCAGCTGCTCTCCATTACTGTGTGACTGCCACGAGGCCGAGAAACACTAGACCAACTTTTTAGATAGGCCATAGGATATTCTCTAGTCGCAGTCTTGACCATACCCATGAAATATAGTCCCATCATTGAATTGAGTTGAACAAGTGTCTTCACAGATGCGAAGGCACTATCGGCGACGACGGTGCGACCGCTGCCGGCGTAAGGTTGAGCAAGTCGCAGCACAACAGCAGTACCTTCTCCAAATTCGGCATTGTATGCTTTTTGACGTTGCCGCTGCGCACCTTCCATTATAAGTAGACCTAGCAAAATTCCAGTGTCCCCATCACCAATAGATTTCAGCTCCGCACCAACACCCTCGGGTTTTCGCTGGATCTTGGTAAGATGGGGGATTCCGTCATGTGTATACTTCTCCTCTCTTCCTTGCCAGGAGCTCATGCATTCATCCACGAATAGCACCGCTCCAGGAGATATAACCCTTTTTCTTTGCTCGTTAAATGAATTAATTAGAAGTCTAACGGCCTGCCACGGGTCGTCAGCTGGTGCCTGGCTTAGCGCAAACCGAAGAGCGCTTTGAATGTTCTGAAAAGTACGGCACGTCATTCCATAGAGCTGACCAAAATTTGCAGCAGTTCCCACGCTTCTTTCTGGCACGGACGCGTTCCAATATACCGTTAGGGGGCCGCGTCTGGGCTCAAGAGTCATAGCCAACCTGCTGCCAATCCAGCGAAAGAATTCACCTCGACCGATAACTCCTTGGCGTCTCTCCACCAGCAGCGTATTCGTTTCTTGTATCGTAGTCTGCAACGACCCCATAGGGTACATGAGATAGAAGTAAGATACAAACGAACGTTCCCCCAGCAGCAAATGCGATGGCCAGTGAATTGATGCCTTACGCGCAAGGACAAAATCCGCGGGGTCAATTAATACAGCATCACAATGTATCCATCGTCTCCCGTGGGCATACACACTTCCGTCGTCTTCATTCTCGGCTCTCGACAATCCACTATCACCACCATCGACAGTAATGATGCTATTAGCAGCATTCTCTCTCTATTCATCTGACGAACTGTCACTAATGCTCATGTCCGATCTAGAGTCTGCAGCGTCAACACCTGCGTCTCCTTCCTCATCAGGAACTTCTCGGGCGAGGTCAGATGGTGTCCAAGCAGCTACTTCCACTTCGCGACGTATTGAGCGCGCTGAGATGGTCTCTGCAATCCCTGAGTCCCACTGAACCTTGTACGAGCGCATACTTGACTCCTTGTTTACTATAAGTACGACCCCACGCCGCTCCGCGAGCTTCTTAGACTTTCCCTCTACGCGATCTCCTGGAGTAAATGGCGGCTGCATTACGTGTCCGTTTGCTTTGCTTCGAATGGCGGAAACAAAAGCTGCCCTTCGGCTATCAAAAGAACCAGTCACACGGCTCAAATGAATAGCCAATTAATGACGTACGAGCTGAAAACTCTGACGCACCGGTAGGACAATCGTCCTACCCGTAGGACGATTTGAGAGCTAAGGCTAGCTTTTATTCTCCCGAAAGAGCCATTTTCTAAAGTAAAGCCTTTCACATTTTATAATAAAAAATCAATGAAAGGATTAGAAATTGTCGAGCCTTCAAGTAGTAATATTTAAAACTTTAAATAACGACAGAGAGGATAATCTGAACGGAACAGTACTCGAGCTCACCCGCACTGGGCATGTCCAGCTTGACGTCAAACACGAGGCCGTCACCGAAGCGAGACTTGAGGTGCTGCACACTACCCAAGCATCGAAGACGACCACCGACCATGATACCGACACGCGAGCACAGAGCCTCGCACTCTTCCATGTTAGAAGAAGATCTGTAACCGAGTGTAACCACGGTTACGGTATAGTGGTATTTCGCCCGCCCGCTCTCCGGATGGGACTACTGCGGAATAAGGTGTGAGGATGAATGGCCAGAGGAAGAAGCAAGGTATGAGTAGAACGTAGTTAGCTTCCTCTCACTTCTCAATATACGACGGTTTCCTCACATCTACTAATAGGTTATGAGCCCAAGCAACGATACTGTCGCCGCGGAGTCAGCCCGCGGGCATCCGGACGCAGATGTCGGTCGTGAAAGGACCAACAGCAGCAAGTATGGAGGCGACGACGAAGTCAAGGAGACGAGGGACCCACAGCAGAAGCTGGTGGATCTCCTCACCGGCCTCACAGAGCGCATGGAGCGCCTAGAGGAGTCGCAGAAGCTGGTGGATCTCCTCACCGGCCTCACAGAGCGCATGGAGCGCCTAGAGGAGTCGCAGAAGCGACAGGAGGAGCAGCAGCGAATCGCTGGAAGGGAGCCAAGTGTATTCGAGTCGGCCATAGGCCTAGGAAGGGCCATGGACCGAGAAGCACTGGATAGGACGCCAACAAGGAATTCCCCGGCAATGTCTCCAGCCACGTACTTCGGTGTGAAGCAGCGCGGCTACGGGTTCAAGAACGCAGCGGCTAACGTGGAGATGGCACAGCTCCTCAGCCAGCGCTGCCACAGCATTACGTGCCCCCGCGCATGTACCAGGCGCACGTTCAGCCGCCAACCATGCCGCACGGCATGCCGGCTCCAGCTCAGGGTTTTCCTCGTGTGCCGGATACGCGCCAACGGAAGCTTGGCATCCGTCACTTCGACGGCAAGGAGCTGTATCAAGGCCTCGGCAGTGGTTTTCTGTCTTGGGGCAAACGGTTCGTGCGTCAGATACTATTTGCGGAACGCGCAAGTGGCTTCACGTGGACAGAGGAAGTAAAGGTGGATGTCCTCGGTCATCACCTTACCGGCATGGCTGAGAGATACTACAACCAGCAGGTTGAGGGGTGGTGGGAAGAGGAGCCGACGTTGGAGCACGCCATGCAGCGATTGCTGCACACGTTCGCGACTAAGATAACGCCCGCCCAGAGCATGAAGATGTTTACAGCGCCAAAGAGCTCCAAGCGCAGCTGGACTGAGCACTATCTCTACCTGGTGGCTGTGAGTGAGGCGTGTGGAGGCGCCGACAACCTCGTCTTGGACAACATCGTCCACTACGCGGACGCGTCGATGAGAGTGTCGATGCTGTCCAGACTGAACCTTGGCCGGACGGATTACCTGCGGCAAGCGGAGGAGCTGGCCCACTTTGCACAGTCCACGGAGATCGAGCTACGAGGTAAGAACCTGGGACGTGACGTTGTGAACAACGTACACGATGATCGCATAGACGACAGGAAGTGTTTTAAATGCGGAAAGGTTGGGCACTTAAAGGCATTGTGCCCGAACAACAAACGAGGAGGGACTGAGCGAGGCGCCAGAGCGGATTTTGTCCTGGCAGTGGATAACTCAGTCAATGAAAAAGGTGTATGGATCCTCGACACTGGATCAAGTCGGCACCTCGTTAACGACGAGGACTTGCTTGAAGACCCAGAGGACTTCGAGAGCGAGTGTGTTGCTGCCGACGGAGGAGCTCTGAGGGTAACCAAGCGTGGCAGCATAGTGCTGGAAACCATGGCTATGGGAAAGAAAACTACGGTGGGACTACTGGATGTTCAGTACGCAGAGAACTTGGAGCAGAACATTATCTCCTACGGAATGCTAGAGAAGAAAGGCTACAAGATTGACTACCGAGGACAACATCGTGTAGTTGCTGCAATGACTGGAGGACCAGCAGTGTTCGACGTAGAGAAAGTCAACAACGTGTTGGTGGTGCGCGCGCAAGTACAGGGGCGTGAAAGAAGCGCCGGCGACGTACTCATGTCGGTACTGGCGCCAAGCGAACAGAATGAGGAGGTAGGACAAGACGTACAGAGGGGCACGCTGATGCACTTTCACCGCCGCCTAGGACATCTCAACTACGATACTATTCTCAAGATGGCCAAGAATCCTGCGTCTGGAATCTTTCTCACGGATGAGAAGCGAGCGAACTGCTTGGCCTGCGCACAAGGAAAGCAAACGAAGAACAAACAGTCCAGGAAGGACACAGGAGCCAACGCACCTATCGACGTCATTGGCGGTGTTATATGCTCAGATCTCAAGGGACCAATGACGCCAAGAGACAGACTCGGCAACAGGTACATAGTGAACTTCGTCGATCACAGGACGAACTATTGCAGGATCTTCTTGGCACGGACGAAGGACGTTGCTGCTCAGAAGTTTAAACACTTCATGGCGTTTTTTGAGCGCCAGTTTAACTGTCGTATCCATGTGCTGCGGACGGATGGAGGAGGTGAATACCAGACTCTAGATTTGTTTTGTAAAGAAACTGACATTGCGCGGCAAGTAAGCGAGCCCAGGAATCAAGCCAGCAACGAAAAAGCAGAACGAATGCACCGCACCATTATGAACATGGTGAGAAGCATGGTGTTCGCGTGTGGTCTGCCACTCAGCTTCTGGGGAGACGCTGCAGAGTACGCGGCGTACATACTGAATAGGAGCCCGAGTAAGGCCAACCCCGGGTTCCAAGTCGCCGTTGCAGATGCTCACGAAGAGCACCCCCGACCTCAGCGACATCGTGGTGTTTGGGTCTCCGTGCACGGTACACACAGACGCCAAGAACAAGTCGCTAGGAGAACGCGGTAAAGCTGCGATAATCGTTGGTAAAAGCGATGAGATGAAGGGATACAGAGTCTACATCCCTAAGGACAAAGTGGTCGTGGTGACCCAGCACGTACGGAATGTGGAGACGCTCACGGACGTACAGAACGAGCAGCTGAGGCGCGTACACCTCGAGGAGTCGGAAGAGACAAACGAGGAAGACCGCAATGCGAATGCTGCCAGTACGGGAGCGGGATCGAAAGGGAAAAAGAAAGTCAAAAGGAAGTCCAAGGGCGGTTGGACACGGGAAAGGCATCGGACGAGGTCGACTACTCAAAAGGCTGCTGGAGCAGGAACGACTAGTGACGATAATAGTCAGGATGGGGCGATACACGACGTGGTAAATAACGTGCGTGAGGCGGACCCCAAGAACTATGGACAAGCAATGAAGAGTGGGCTCAAGGACGCGTGGGTAATTGCTATGGTAGAAGAGGTGCGAGCTCTTGAAGAGAATGGAGTGTGGACAGTCGAGGTACCGCCAGCTGGCAGCCACGTACTGCACACTAAATGGGTCTTTAAGACCAAGACGGACGCCGACGGCGCCATCGAGCGGTTCAAAGCTCGGTTGGTTGCTTGCGGAAACGAACAGCTCTTTGGCATTGATTACAACCTCACGTTTGCGGCGGAAATGGAGCTGAGCACCGTAAAGATAGTGCCGGTGTTTGCTCGGCGCTGGCGTGTGCCTGCCCGACACGGGGACATTACCAAACGCGTACGTCAAGGCGGACAAAGAGCAACATTTGGAGATTTATCTGGCTATACCAAAGGGCATGCAAATATCTGAGGCGGTGCTACGCGCTCTCGCGTGACACCAGCAGCAAGCTGGTGCTGCGGCTCAAGAAGTCGCTGTATGGTTTGAAGCAAGCGGGGCGCTTGTGGAGCAAGCTACTACACGCTAAGTTGGAGGAGATCGGTTTCACTAGGTGCGTTACCGACATGTGCTTGTACTACAAGAAGCACGGCAGCGACATGACTCTGGTAGGAGTGTATGTGGATGACCTTCTAGTGACGGCCTCCAAACCAGAGCTAGTCGAAGATTGTTTTCAAGCGATGAGTGTTTTATCCATTAAGGATCTGGGTGTGGTACGAAAGTTCTTGGGCATGCGTGTAGAGCTTCATGAATCGGACGGTTACTCGTTGGATCAGCAAGCTGCGATTGAAGAGCTACTGGAGCAGTACGGGCTCGCGGACGCAAACGGAGTACGCGCACCAATCGGAGAAGAATGTAACGAAGCCGAATAAGGAGCACCGCAGCTGTTGATGCAGTCAGGAGGGCGCGGAGAGCCAACAAAACGAAGTTTCCAGTCTCTCGTCGGCAGCCTGCTATGGATAGCTCGCTGTACGAGACCAGACATTAGCTTTGCGGTCCACAAGGCCACGAGACGCACCCATCAGCCTACCGTAAACGACTGGAAGCTTGCGAAGCGGATCGCTAGGTACTTGAAGCAGACAAAGGAACTTAAGGTCAAAATGCGAGTAGACGCAGCCAGTGGAAGACGGATCTGTCTGGAAAGCTGGAGTGATGCGGATTTCGCGGCGGATAAGGCCGACAGGAAGTCGGTGACCGGCGGAGTTATCACTCTCGACGGGGCCATCGTGCAGTGGATATGTAAGAAACAGACTGGAGTGTCTCTATCCACGATGGAAGCAGAATTTACGTCAGCATCAAATGTCGGACGTGAGCTGCTTGGACTGCGAGAGCTCGTTAGGGAGCTGGAGTTTGCGGTGGTAGAGCCAATGACCATGTATATGGACAACCAGGCCGCCATCAGGCAGCTAGAGACCGAAGACAGTATGTCCAGTGCAAAGCACGTAGACATCCGAGTCAAGTTCATCTGCGATTTTGCACGGCGAGGTGTGATCAAACCAGGATATGTGGAGTCACGACTAATGAAGGCCGACCTTCTCACGAAGGCGCTTCCGGCAGCCAGATTGGACGAGCTTCGGAGGATTTTCATGTTGGAGTAGTAGCTGGCGAGCGCGACGAGCGAGGAGGAGTGTTAGAAGAAGATCTGTAACCGAGTGTAACCACGGTTACGGTATAGTGGTATTTCGCCCGCCCGCTCTCCGGATGGGACTACTGCGGAATAAGGTGTGAGGATGAATGAAGAAGCAAGGTACGAGTAGAACGTAGTTAGCTTCCTCTCACTTCTCAATATACGACGGTTTCCTCACATCTACTAATATTCCATGCTGTGTGTCGTCAGAACGATGGTCGACTCCTTGCCACGCGTAGAGATATCGGCGATAACGTCCCACATGAAGCGACGAGACACCGGGTCCATACCAGTGGACGGTTCATCCAGGAAAATGATGGCCGGGTTGCCAATCATCGCGATAGCCACGGACAGTTTGCGCTTGTTGCCGCCACTGAGACTTCCAGCCAATTTGTGCTCGAAGTCGCCGAGGTTCAGCTGCTGGATCTTCTCCATCACGACACGGTCCAGCGACGCCTGTGGGATGCCTTTGATAGCGCCAAACAACTCGAGGTGCTCGCGAACACTGAGAAGATCGAACAAGGCGTCGAACTGTGGGCAGTATCCAATCTGACGGCGAACTTCGATCTGCTGCGACAAAATGTCGAAGCCGCCCAGCGTAGCCGTTCCGTGTGACGGCTGAACGTCACCCGTGAGCATCTTCATCGTGGTGGTCTTGCCAGCGCCGTTGATACCAAGGAATCCGAAACACTCGCCGCGCTTCAAGCCAAACGAGAGGTTGCGCACAGCCACCTTGCCACCAGGGTAGATCTTCCGCAGTCCAACGAGCTTGACGGCATCTTCGTCCGCGTCTCCAGCAGCAACACGGTCTGCCTCCTTCTGAACGTCTTCGTCAATTTCGTTGTGCTCATCCTCGTTTCCGTGGTCGTGGTCCTTGGTCTTCGCGAAGGTTTTGGCGTAGTCGAGATACAGCGTCAGACAAGAGAAACCGATCGCTGAGAACGCGAGAAAGAGCAACTCCCAGCCCATAACATCTGTGCTGAACGGACTTGTCGTGCCGTCTTCGCTGTACTGGATGCTGTCGACGTCATTCGTGACCATACTGAGGAGTCCGTTGCCGAGGTTGAACAGCGGCGAGAAGCGATAGAAGAATTTGAGTACCGAGTTGACGTCGGAAGTCGAGTCGAACAGGTCCAAGATGAAGGACGTGATCATCAACACCACGCCAATCATAAAGTTGAGAACGATCGTGAACGTCTGCGCGGACGCATGTTCCTTGAAAAGGAACGACAGGCAGTACATGAATGGACAGATGGCCAGACCAAAGAGCACGAACAGGAGAATCACGGCGGGGAAGGTCTCGGACGAGCAGCTATCGCAGTCCTGGCCAGTTAGCGCCGAGATCTCGAACACATTGATCAGAATCAGCGACGATACACAGGGGAAATGTACATGGTCATATCCCAAATGTAGTTGGACAGCCAGAAGGCGGGCAACGATACGCTGGAGACCAATTGCTGGTGCTTCGAGTTGTGCTCTTTTTGCTTCTCCTTGGCCAAGAAAACCACGATAGACGCCGGCAAGAAGGTAAACGCGATGCACACGAAAAGAGCCGCAACAAACGAGGTGTTGGAGCTGAATACGGACTCTGCAGCATCGGTGTACGGCAACGGGTACTTGTTCACCTTGAGGTTCACATTTGAAGCCGAGTCGGTCGAGTTGTTAGCTGCAAAAAAAACGATACACTGCCTGGTCCATCAATGCCTTGAAAATCGCCGAAGAGTGAGACCCCGTAGTGTTAGTGAAGACGTTGTAGCCGAGCAAGTTCTGGTTGCTGTCGCCGTACACCAAGTAGCCTCCGTACTGGCCTTCCACAAGATCAGCGCCCTTGCCGTATCCCCGTTCGAATGCTTCCTGTCCCATGGCAACCATGTATCCAGTGTTTCCACTCGCGTTCAGTGCAGGGTCTGTGTACGTGACCCCGCACACAGTGGGCGAGTCAGAGTCGAAAGCTGGCTGTGGGATGGGGAGCGGCTGTACGTCGCCTGCGGAGTAAAAAGAGGATGTCATCACATCACTGCACCATTCGCCAGCCCCAGCTCCTGTCTGGCAAAAGTACGGCGTCGGGGTCTCATTACCAGAATACTCGTCAGCTGTCAATGCCTTCAAAGGATCATCTTCGATTGCCATACTGCCCTTTGAAATTCCCAGACCCGCGGCGATCAGCAGAACCGGCAGCGCAGCAATGTAGATGATGGCCTTTTTGTCGCGCTTGGCGTAGCGGTAACGCTTCAGTAGTAGGGCACGCAGGTGTCTCTGAAACATGGATTCGGTTGTGATGATCTCGTCACACGACTGGTAAAACCCATCCGAACCCACAGCGGTCATCCGCGCAGCGTATTTGCCAAGAGTGTGTTGGTTGTTCTCATCGCCCAACTCTGCCACCTTGATGAACACTTCCTCCAACGTGGTTACTGACACTCCATAGGACAGAAGACCCAATCTTTTCAACCGACGATCCATTTCTGCGAACATGGTGGCAAACTCGGACGAGCTGTTCAGAGGAAGTTGAAAGGCAATTTCACTACCGACGTTGCTCAGCAACACAGCAGCCGGCACGTACGATTGCACAAAAGCGGCCACAGCATCGTCGTCGCACTTAGCGTCGTCCTTCACCAGAGTCAGATTGTAGCCGGCACCAAAACGGTTCTTCAGGAACAGCGACGACCCGCAACAACGCATTTCACCTTCAGCCATGATAGCGATGCGGTCGCCTAGAATATCTGCTTCGTCCATAAAGTGCGTCGTCAGCACCATCACACGGTTGTTGCGGTTGTGGAGCAGAATCTCCCACGTGCTGCGACGACTGTACGGGTCCATACCGGAAGTGGGTTCGTCGAGGAACACCAGCGAGCTGTCACCCAGTAGTGACACAGCAACTGACAACTTACGCTTCATACCACCCGACAGATCGTTGGGCTTTGAGTTGCGCTTCTCGGTCAACCCAACTTCACGGATCTGTCTGTCCACCACGGCCTGTAGCTCTTGGTTCGCGTTAACCCTTAATCTGTCCGAAGAACTGGAGATGTTCCTCGACCGTAAGCTCTGGGAACAGAACGTCATGCTGGAAACAGATACCGAGCGACCGGCGCATCTCGTCCATGTCTTCGTTGATCGACAAACCACGGTAGGTTGCGTTACCACTGGAAGGGGCAGTCATACCCGTGAGCATCGAGATCAACGTGGTTTTACCAGCACCGTTGTGGCCCAGCAGACAGGTGATCTGATCCTTGTACATGGTGACATCAAGTCCCTTGACGGCTATCTTCTCACCGCCCGGAACCTGAAAGACCTTACGCAGTCGCTTAACTGTGAGGGCTTCACCGCGCTGTTCTTGTTCACGAAGGTCAGCGCTGACCGGTTCGAAGTTGGGGTTCATATCAACAGCATGCCCTCCCCCCACGATACCGTCCACCGCGCTCTCGACAGTTACTTGCTTTTGCTTGCGGCTCCGCCAATACGATGGTGAGACGGGGAAAAACCATTTGAGCAACGTGCCGTATTCCTTGGGCATAACCTTCTCAAAGTAAAGACCGAGAATTGTGTACAGCATCGTGTCAAAGACAAACATCATCAAAGCCGTGCTGAGACGATAGTTGTCACTGAGAGTGTCTATCGTCGAGAATTGCACACCCTCGCCAGTTTCTTCAGCATTTGCCAGCACGCCAATTCCAAGGCAAAGTGCCACGGGAGAAAGCACGAGCCGATGGTCTTGGCACTTTCGGCTGTGCCAGTCGAAAATCCTTGCGAAACTGCGTACATGGCAAAGAATGCCACCATTTCCACGAACGCACCGACACGAGCCTTGCTGAACAGAGTGCTGATGAAGAAAGCCAACGCCAGCACACTCAGTCCAAACAGGAAGAAAAAGAGGAAGGTGACGATCAATGAACTGTTGGGGAAGAGTCCTGCCAGACCGGCGAGTGCTTGGACAACAGCACCGACAAAGAGAATCGCTGCGTACGTCATGTACCACGTCAAGGTGATGGTCTTCTCAGTCACACCGAGGATTTTCATGAACTCTCGTAGACGCAGCTCGTTTTCTTGGATAAGCGCCACTAAAATTCGCGAGATAGTGAACAGATACGCCATGATAAAGATGATCAAAAAGACACTGGCCACGTTCGCGTAGAATGGAGAGCTGGTGTAGTTGCCAGCAGGAAACGGTGCGACCGTAGCTCCCATGATTGGCTGAGGCGCTTGACGTAGCGGCGTTAGAAGAGCTTCTCTGGTACTGCTCGATAACGAGGCCAGAGCACTCGACAGAGCAGCACTATCGGAAAGGCCCAACCCATTGAGAGCCTCTTTGATCAAACCATCGTTGCTCAAAACATCGAGAAGAGTGTCGTCAAGCTCTGTTGATGCGACTGCGGTAGTCTGTGAGCGCTGACAGAGGCCCGTAGTCGACTGGTTGGCAGAGTTCCATTCGGGCATACACGTTACAAAACGGGTGACAAGTGTCTGGAGAGTCATGAAACCTGTTAGAGTGTACGCAGTGTAGTAGTCCGTAACAATATCCTTCTGGAACGACTCGACATCCACAAGACCACCATCCGTGGTCGGCACGCGACCCACCGAGTCTCTACCATCACCTCGGGTTGCATTTAATCGCAGCGAGTACTCAATGGATCCAAACGTCCCGATGTCATCTCCCGACGGAGCCGAGTCAAACACAATCGCGGCGTATATTTTGGGGTTGCCGATTTTGTCGCCGTACGTGCTACTCTTCACGTAGTCCGTCAGCGCGTCGTTCGTGTCGAAGAACTGGATGCTTTCCTTGAACGACGGGATCGTCAGCGTCTCGGTCGTTGAGTTCATCAGATCCAGTCGAGGGTACCACAAATCCATGGCCTCTGCGAAGTAGTTGCGAGTGAAAGCATTGTCCGGTGCCACGCCAATCTTGTACGGCACAACCTTTCCGGCGCACTCAGTCCGAACGCTGAAGGGCGACGACGTGTTCGTATCGACCAGACCTCCAGCCAGCACTCCTGCCCGACAAGCAGCCAGGTCCGAGGCAGACAGATCTTCCAACCGCAGGCCATCCTCGATAGACTGACGAGCAAGTTTTAGCATGAGCCCGGTCATCGAGGACTCGTACATCGCGAATTTAGGCAAGTCAACGTCAACCCACTCGAAGCTTGGCCCAGTTGGCTGGAACAGGTTGTACCTGGTGCCGGCGGTATTGTCAGCGTCATCACTCCAGCCGGCCGGTACGTCAACAGTCTTCGTGATAAGCTTGAGAATTCCAAGCAGTACTATGAAGAAGGTGGGCACGAGGATCTCGCATGCGGTAGCAGCAGGCTGGCGCTTCTTGATGAGCCAGTTCTTCCACAGCAAAGACCGGCTGAACGTCCAAAATGTTTGTTGCTGAGCCAGATTTTCAGTGGAGGTGTGCATCAGCTTGTCTTGGAGAGCCATCTAAAAGACTTGGTCGGGTTTTTTCGTTTGTGTGGGTTTTTTTTTATTTCGGGATGTTTGCAGTCAGTTGGTGGTCGATTGAGGAATGAGGAAAGCAAAGTAATCGTTTTAGTTTGGCGAGGACAAGGAATCCATGTACTTCAAAGCCACGAAGGAGTCTTACGTTTGTGAGTAAGCATATTGGTCAGCCTGCTCACTACCATCTGCCTTGATGCAGAGCTACCATATTTCAGTAGAACGTACTGGATTCTTCGGGGGGTCGATAATGTCTCGCTTCACACTGAGATGGTATCTTACGCTCTCTCTGTTCAGACTCTATTGCTTCCTTTTCATATAACAGAGATCATTAGACCCGGTATTAATTGTAATTTGCGTAAATTGTGCTACAAAAGGAAAAGTGTGTACCAGTACCAATGTTTAAGTATTGGTCCAGACAGTGTACTTGAGGGATATTTATCAGGAGTAACCTCAACATCAACAAATGTTGCAGTAAACACCTCAAGTTTAGTTTTAGCCAATTAGAACATGTATATAAATACGCCACGAAAGAAAACGGCTTGAGGCCAAAACAAAAAAAGACGAGTTCTATCCTCCATTCCCCCCCCCTGGATTCAAGTGGTAAGCTCGCTGGAAAATATGTAATCATAAAATCGTATTGCTGCTAATGTGCTCGGTATGCGCCTTGTTAGGCCTACTCATTATCTCTACATATGTCTGCTTAATCTTTGGAGCGACATGGTCTTACCGATGTCACACTGCATGACTATTTTCAATCTGCAGAGGACGCAGGCCTCTTTTTAAAAGACGTTGCGCTTAACGACAGGAAATCGATCTCTCTAGAGTCGTACACTGGATCCTCCAAACTCTGGAAATGCACAGGTCAAGATTGCCCATGGTTTGTAAAATTGGGATTGCGGCGAGGTCAAAACAAGAAAAAATCGAAACTCAGCTCAATTCCCCCAGGTGCCTGGTTCGTTAGTGGAATGCATTTACAGCATCGTGATGTATGTGATGCTGTACCCGTGCTGTCTGTTAGTCAAGTTAGAGGTCTAAGTGGTTTTCAGGCTGCTATCGTTCCTGGACGCGAGACCTCTCGACTGCGAGTAGTCGAGTCTGTGAAAGCTATAAACCACGTCGATTTAAGCGATCAGGCGGCTACCGTCTATCGTGCGATATCAGCAGAAATATTGGCTCGTACATCGCTAGCAGAAAAACAAGTTGGTTATGACACCCTAGTCGCGTTTCTGAAAAAGTTTGCAGTTTTGAATTCTGGATCGCGAGTTTGCTGCCAAATGGACAATAAGTGTCGATTTTATCGAGGATTTATTGCGATCGGTTCTGTCATTTCTCGTTTAAACAATTTGCTGCCTGTGTATGAGATCGATGGAACTCACATGAAGCACCCTCAGTATAATGGAGTTTGTCTGACTTTGATTGGTAAAGATGGAAACAAAGGAAATGTGCTCATCGCAGCAGGCTTTGTTTCAAAGGAAACGAAGTGGAATTTCGCCTGGTTTTTATCAAACTGTATTGCGGCAGGGGTGAGTTTGGCCGACGTCGCGCTGTTCACAGACCGTGGCCTTCAGTTAGAAGCGCAAATGTTACTATCCCAGCTTGGCCTTCAGATACACCTAAAGTTCTGTGCGCTCCACATCGTATTTAATGTCTGCCATCGCTTTAAGATCATTGA